GACACATGATCCATCAGACATGGGGAATTAAAAATATGGTGGTTTTCAGAAGACAAACTGTTCTTTCTTCCAGGGACACAGTGAAAGACTATAAATACCCCTCATGATTCTGTCGACATGGGAAAATATATGTTTGAAATGATCACTCAGAGTTTCACAGGACTAGGATAAAAACCTTAAGTACCCTTTCAGAAGAGGCCATGGAGGTAGGAAAGGTACTCAGGAAGGAAATCATCCCCCTTCTGGACTACTCTAGTGCCTCCAGAGTGATAGTAGGCCTTCTTTTACTTCGAAAATAGCTCAGGCAGCAAATACAAAGGCTGCAGATATGCAGTACCATCTCCATTCTACACGGAGACCTCAGTCTTTCAGAAAGGTCAAGGAAATCAATCAGACCCTAAAGTGAGCTCTGGCAAAACTTTGCCAAATGACTTCTGAGTCTTGTCTCTTTTGCCAACAACCCTCATGATAGTTCATAACACTCCCCAAACTGGGCTAAATACGTGTCCATTTGAGATGTTATCTGAGAGGCCATTTCTATCTTCTGATATGATAACAGGTCAAGACCTTGAGACTCTTACAATATCTCATTAATCTGGGCCATGTACAACAGGCTATCCAAATGTATGGGAACAGCATACTGCCAGCTTCTGGCCCAGGGGAACCTCCTAGTGTCCATCCTGGTGATCAAGTACTCATTAAAACTTGGAAAGAAAAGGACTCTCACGGATCAATTAAAACCAAAATGCAAGGTCCCTTCTTCAGTGATCCTTGCCACACCCACTGGAGGGAAAGGTGGCAGAGATGGATAACTGGATTCATCTTTCTAGGATAAGCCCAGTCTCCCTTGCACTATCTGAAGAAAAGACCGCCTGAAAGGAAAAATCTATTCCTGTCAACCTCTGGAAGGTTTGATATTTCTCTTGAAAAACAAGGCTCCAGTGATGCTCAAAATACAGATAAGTAAATGGGATCTTTCTAAACCTGTGGTTCTAAACCTCTTAATAATTTATTTGACATCCTTCTCTGATACACGTTTTCCACCAGAAGTTTGGAAACTTGAATTGCTCCTCATGCTTAGGCCAATAGTGTGATGTCTTTCTCCCATTAAACAAGCAGTTTAATAGTCACTAATTCTTATCTTCCAACAGTTATTTTTTGTCTTCACCCAGCCATGAGCCACAATTCTAAGAAGTTGACAAGCACATAACCCCCAGTAGGTAGGGTCTACAATCCCATCCAGTAGAATGTGAAGATAGAGACATCTATTCCCTGAGCACCTTGTATAAAACTAAGGGGATATGTTTCACATGGAGAAAGATATGTGGAGCCAGGAAGATAGAGTGTGGCTAAATCAAGTTGAGAAAGGAAACAATATCTAGGACCCATGTGCAGAATGATTCTCAGAGCCCTGCATGTGGACTTCTGTGAGAACTGGAGCAGGTTTTTGATAGGATGAGCTGCAAGTGATGCCAGAGTGAGAAATATAAAATACAGACAGTAAACCACTAAGCACTTGCTATTATTTCTTCCAGTGAGCTGCCCTATGCTGTACGGTGTGTTTTACCCCCTCCTCTTCCTTTCACCTGGCCCAGTGTTGCTCTGCAGAGCCCACTTTTTCCCTCCCTTCTGATATTCCCTACCTTTTGTAAATATGAAAGTTTGCCACTATTTATACTTTTTTCATTCAATTCTTTGTTCAGGACAGAATGAACCTAGAAATCACCTCTAGGAGACTCCACGACCCTAAAATCCAGTAACAGGGGCATCAAGGCAGTGAAAGGAGCCAAAGGGGAAGATGAGTTGCAGGACACTCAAACAGAACCATGGTAGATGCCACATCAATATTTGCTGAGAGGACAAAAGCCTTGTGTGAGCTGAATTTAACCCACAGAGATATTCTTGTGCCTCAGCTGTAGTAAGCAACAGCACTCTGCTCGCTGAGCTCCTCTTCCAACCTCAGGCCTTGCAGATGCACACCTGAGTGGAAAAGCACTGCTGTCTTTTGCTCATACTCATCCAATCTTCTCATGGAGCACAGAGGTTGGAACATAAACCCACGTCCCTCACACCTGGTTCAGGTAAGCATTTGTTCCCTTGATTCGGTCTCTGCCCAGGGGATCTAGAGCTGGAGCAAGCACTTCTTTACTCTGTCTCCTGAGTGAATCATCTGTTTACTTTTCCAGCCCTGAGCTTTGGCATGCTGCTTTTCTTGCTGTGTACTCAGAAAGCTATGAAGTTCACATTTCTTAGCTGTCTGCTGGGGAGGTGGAAGAAGTGTGGAGCAGAACAGTATCTCTCCTTTATCTCACTCTGCTATCTCATTCCTTAGTATCTATATCTCCACAGGTGCGTATTTTTCCTTGTTGTTCTGAGACAGTGAGGGCTTCTGGAACGAATAAGACTTGTGTGGGAAATGGGACTCTGGAAGACTGTGTGAGGGCTGAAAGGGAACAGCAGACACTGATGGGTCAGCTAGGGCCCCTGAATTACAAATCCTGTTCGACAGCTTTGCAAAGAGAATGTCTTTCTACCTGGAGCTGTTGTGTTTAAATAGTGACATCATTTCTGTTTCTGCCCAGGAACATCTAAGCTAACCACGTCCTGTCACTTGCCTTTAGTCACTGATCACTCAAATGGGACTGGACCTTACTGACGATCTCTCCTGAGAATTAGTCCAGTGTAAATGAAGACTTTCAGGATGAGCACTGAAGCCAGAAAGTGTTTTAACAGGGACTGGCAGTGTTGTGAAAAGGGACTGTCCTTTCTCCTGGCTGACTTTCAAGAACTTAGCTACATGTCATGAGTGGCAGTAATTACTAGTTCCACTGCGAAGTACTTTTTTAATGTTTGAGTTAATCATTCTAAAAGTTTCATTAATAAGTCAATTTGCTCTGAGTGGTGGTAACATAGCATAAATAGAGAACTCAAAGAAATGTGGATTCATGCCAGGAAAGTGGAGCCCTCTGAGGGAAGTTAAATTCCCCCTTCTTAGTTCCCAGGGCACAAACTCAGATAGCTCTGGAAGGGATGGTGGAGGGTTGCCAGTGTTCAAGACTCTGGAAATAGAATGGGAGCCTTTCCTCCTAGGTCACTTCTTCCTCTTTGTTTAGCTCTTTCATTCTTTTTTCATAGACTCTTGTTGCAGTAACTCTTCCATTTCTAGTAGCCCTTCCATTGGTTTGAGTGTATATCTAGTAGCATATATATTGCCTGTAGAATTCCTACCCCTAGCTAACACCTCCCCTCCATTTTCAGGAACCTCAAATTAAGAGTTTCTGGTATATTTTGATTCATTTAAGATCAGTGTACATAGCTGAACTAGTACCTCAGCTTGTTTAATGCAGATTATAGAGATATAGAGGAACATGCCTAAAAGGAGTATCAAGCCAAACGAGTATCATTCAGATAATCCTAAACACCAGCTGGAAATGATGGAAAACTCACTAATTTAGTACACTTAAAAGTTGAACAGGAACACAAAGTGTATTTTCTTTTCTAAACAACTAGGTGAAAAACAAGCAAAGAATGTTTCAAATGTTTACATAACATTTATTATGGCCAGTCACTGTACAGGTATGCTTACATCTGTGTCCCATTTAATCCTCAAAGCAGCTCACAGAGGTAACAATCAGTATCCCAATTTTACAAATCTGAAGTTCAGAATCACCTCTTGATAGAAAAATATCTGAATAGCATCTATTCTAAAAAAGTCAACATTGGTCACTTATGGATAGTTTGAAATCAAAGGAGTTTTGCTTACTGTTTAAGTTTAATGTGAAATGTGTCATTTTCATTGGAAAATAAAATTTTATGAGATACTAAAAATTATATGAAATACTACATATACAGAAGTAGGTGAAATACTAAATACACAGTAGCCTTCTCCAATATGATAAACCAAGCTCAGACAGTTATAAATCCATGTCTTCCAACTTCTTTTGGTAACACATTGTTTTGTTAAAAGCTAATCAACTGAGAAGGAAAAAAGCATCAGAAAAGAGGTTCTGTCTGGTCTGGTTCCAACTGGGACCATAACCCTAAGGCACATCCTTACTTTCCTAAGCTATTTCTGGAGGTTTCCTCCTTGTATCAGATGCACATAAAGGCTACCAAGCCCCAGGGCTTTCATTGCCATTTTCAATAAACTAAATGCTCAGAACTTCTGGCAGAGCATTCAGGTATACAGATAAATATGAGCGATCATAAAAATGGGCCTTTCTCTGGGCCCGGGAGAAGTACATGCCAATTCAAAAGCCACTTGTATACAACAAGGCAAGAAAGCCCTGTCCCATGCTTTATACAGAGATACAGACACCTGGATGAAGGTCCAGTCTGTGTCCTTTATCATTTTATTCTGTAAGCCTATATGGAGAGGATCAACAGGTGAGAAACATCAAGTTCTTCCCAGGTTCCTGGGTTTGTGTTGGCCTTCAGGTCTTCCTTTGTTGCTTTTCTTATTTGATGGAAGCAGCAGTGGGTACTCAGAAAAAAGACAAAGAGAATGACAGTGTTACTTCTCTCAGGGCAAACACTTAATTCTCTTTCTGTCCCAGATTAAATTTCCCTGAGCCCTGGGCTTGGCTGTTGGTAGAGATAGAATCATAACCACTCAGACTGTCCCAATCTTAGTATCCTTTCTAGGCTCTCCTTGGACCATCTCGTATACTCTTATTTTCTATCTTATCTGAGGAAAAATATGAAGTATGAGAGTAGGATTCACAGTTATCATACACTTATTCAGCACCTAATATCTGAAGAACTTACATTACTGACGGTGGGGGAGCTCTGAGAATCAGATGAAACATACAAACTAAGACCTATATTTATAATTTTATCCTGTTACTTTTAAAGAACTCATCAAGTATCAGTCTTGTGTTCAGGACTGAAGACACCATGCTGAGTAAGAGACAAACCATGCTCATTTCTGTGGTATAGGCACATACCAGTTTCAAATTTTCTGTCAATAACGCATCCCTGTCATTAGACCCCTCACAATTTTAGAATCTTTCGTCACTTTTGTTATTCAGTACTGTCAATCTCACACTGGAGACAGGACATGCTTCATTTCCTCTATGCAATTTCTGGTGTCTAAGAAGGCTTGACCTGCTAAAGTTTCTCCTGCACATGCTTCATTTATAAGGCTGTGTGGATTCTCTGGTTTTTAACAAGGTGGGAGTTCTGAAAAAATCTTTTCTCACATTGATAACGTTTAAAAGGCTTCTCTCTTGTATAAATTCTTTGGTGTGTATGTAAATTTGTGTTATGACAAAAGCTTTTTCCATACCATGAACATTTATATGGTTTTATTTCTTCATGTGCCTTAAAGTGCTTACTAAGATCTGAACTTCTAAACCTTCTGTCACATTGTTGACATTTGTATGGCATCTCTTCAGTATGAAGTCTCTGGTGTTTAATAAGGTCAGTGCTAACTCTGAAGCTTTTCTCACATTCCTGACATTTAAAAGGTTTCTTTCCTGTGTGACCTTTCCTGTGAAGATCCCTAAGTTTTAGAAGCTTTTGTTTATGAGTTGAAAGTTTGTTTCTCTTTTTCCTTGGAAAACCCCCAACTTGTTTGTTTACCCTGTGCGTGTCACCATGATTGTCCTTGGGTGCTCTTTTCTGGGCAACTTTCATTGTAGTCTTCTTCGATACTCTGCATTGTGGTTCTGGATTTCTGAGGCAGAAAATATTTAGGCTGCTCATTTGCAGTGTAATTTTTGGTCTTTACTTCTGTGAAAAAATACAATAATCAAACATATTTCCTTTAGCATAAAACTACGTGAATGGAGAGAAAAACCTATAATGTTTCCTTATTATAAAATAACAAGCAAGGGACTTTGATTTGTTCTGACAAAATGGCATAAAACTATGTCTCCCTGAACCTTACTGCAAAGCACCAAAATAAACCCAATAAATAACGAAAAAATTACCAAAACAGAATTCAAAAAAGTGGAAACATGGAAACAAGTTTGGGACCCTAGGAATGGAAGAATTACATGGAAGGATGTTTTATACCCCAAAATCCATCAAAAGAATGTAACACAGATCGAGAAGGATTCTTATTCCTTTCCCAGTCCTGAATAGGAAACTTTATGATAACATCACACCAACCAGATACAACTGTGAAAGGGAATCATCCTGGAATCTATCAACAGTGTGCACCCAGGAGACATTTTGGCCTTGTATACTGAGCTAGAGATTTTCCGAATCTTAGTTGAAACACATCAAGATAGACAAGCAGAACTGGCAAGAAACACCCAGTCAAATCAGTGACACTTGAAAAGAAGCCCCTATAATACACAGACACGAGATTATTTCTCTTGAACAAAAGACCCCAAAGTGGAGGAGCACAGCCATTAACAGTGAACCAGACACAAGAGGCCTGGCTTAGGAAGCCTCCTCATGACTATGGGTGTTAATTCCTTGTTCCCTCTGAGAGACATCCTCATTGAGGGAAATGCCTTCCACAGCTTCAGGTAACACCGGTTGGGAACCATGGGAGGCTTCCCAGTACCCTATAAACCAAAGTTAACACCACAAAGGCTCTGAAAATTAAAAATATCAATAGAAGCATATTTTATAAAAGTCACAAGACCTTGCATGCCAAACTAGTTTAAATCAGAAAATATTTATTTTAAACATTTAAAATAAAATAGTTTATAAGGTCCAGATTCTTTTAATATACAGAAGTATCAAGATGCAAAATCATTCATTAGATGAAGAACCAAGTAAATCACAACTTCAGTGACAAATGCAATTCTGACAGAAAATGTCATCAAACTAAAAAGGAAAACAAAAAAAATAGGAAAATATAAATACATGTCGAAATAAAACAACCCATTTCTAAATAATCCATAATTCAAAGACAGTTTCAAAGCAAAAGTTATAATAGATTCTAATGAAATAAAAGCACCACAAAATATAATAAATAAAATGCAATTAAAGAATATGATCAGAGGAAAAGCTGTAGGTCTAAGTGCTTACAATAGAAGAAGAGAAAGTTTTCAACCCAGTCATCTGTGTTCCTACCTCAAGAAACTATACAAAAAGGAAAATAAATCCAAATCAGGCTGAAAAAGGGAAATAAAAATTAGAGCAGAAACTGCAGTGAAACTGAAAGCTTCAGGTTAAAAAACTAATGAACAGCTAAACTTTTATGTAGACTACCAAAAATAAAGGTACAGACCACCAATCTCAAGAATGTAACTACCAGAGAGGATAACCATGGAGAATCACCAGTTCAAGGCCACCTGGGTAAAACTGCAAGAGCAGACCATAAAGCAAGAGGGAAACCAGAAAGAAAGACAGGGAGGAAGGTAGAGGAGTAACTACTACATACTCTGCAGCCATTAATATAGAATATGTTAGTGTAGTAATACCTAGTTCACAAATGCTTCTCTTTGCAAATGCTTCTGTTCCTAAACAAAAGCATTTGGAAAATCTTGCTTCCATTTGCAAACACTGCATTAGGTGACAAACACGACCACAGCCACCTGCCCCCAAATTATAAAATAAATTAAGTTCATAGACCAAGGTACCACTGTACTGTGCATTTGATGTTCATGAATTTAAAAAGTTAGTGGACCAATTCCTTGACAACTACCAGAATGCAACTAATATGAAACACATAACCTGAAGCACACTAACACCACTAAAAGAATTCATAATTTTAAAACTCCCCCTGATGAAAACACTCTGGGCCTCAATTGTGTCACTGGAAGATTCTATCAAATATGTAAAGAATTAACAATTTTTTATAATCTCTTCCAGAAAACAGGCGGAAATACTACTTATTTTTAAGACCAGTATTATGCTGACAGCAAATCCATACAGACAGTACTAAAAAAGAGAATTATAAGCTAAAATCTCCTACAAAATCATAGAAAAATTTTGTCAACATAGCCAAGTGTGCTGGTGCATTCCTGTAATCCTAGCACTTGGGAAGCTAAGGCAGGAGGATTGCTATGAATTTGAGGCCAGCCTAGGCTACACAGTGAGTTCAAGGCCAGCCTGCACTACATAGTGAGACCATATCTCAAAAAAAAAACTGTCAAAAATATTCAGTAACTTAATACAACAGAATAATATGTCATGATACAACAGAATTTATTACAGGGATATGCGTGTTGTTCATCACTTCAAAATAAACTTTATTCACCATTTCAATAATCTAAAGAAGGAACATGATATACTGCTATCAACTGATATAGAAAAATCATTTCACAAAATCCTACATCCATTCATGATATAAAAATTCACAGTTAGCAATCACATCAATTTAATAACTGATATCAACAAAAACACAGTGCTAACATCATAGGTAATGATGAAATACTAAAAGTCTTCATGTGAAAACTCAGAACAAGTCAAGGATGTCTTCTCTTCGTACTTTAATTCAACACAGTACTAGCAGTTAGATTTAGTGAAATAAAGCAACAAAAGTCATTCTAGATTTTAAAATTGCCAATGTAGAAAATTCCATGAAATCTATAACTAAAGGTACACTTTGAACTAATAAGTTAATTCAGGACAGTCACAAGATCCAAGATGCATGGCATTCCCATATAAAACACAATAAACAAACATAAAGGAAAATTTAAAGTAGTCTCATTTACAATTATTTCAATAAAAATTAAAAGCTTATGTATATTCTTTAAAAATGTAGAGTATAAATACTTTGAAAATTATAAAATGTTGATGGAAGAAATAAAAGAAGACATAATTAGGCATTGATCTTTAAAATGATGTGTATCAGTTGAATGTAATTTCTGGTAAAATCTAAACAAAATTTATTTAGACATATATAAGCCTACTTTGAAATTTGTGTGGAAAGGCACAGGCAATGATAGCTAAAAAGATCTTGACAAAGGAGAATACAGTGCAGGGAGAGAATCACACTGCTGAATAGATACTAGGGCTTACCTCACATTCACAACAATCAAGAGAATGCAATATTCACACAGGGAAACTCCTAGCTCAATGGATTAGTTTAGAAATACTAGTCCCTTACGGCTGGAAATTTAGCTCAGTGGCCAGCACCTGCCTGGCCACAGGAAGGTCCTGTGTTCGACTCCCAGTTTCAAAAACCAAAAAATACTATTCCCAACTTATCCTTGACAAAATCCACAAAATCAATTCAATGGACCAAATCAACAAATGACAACTGACTTTAAAGCAGTTGGACTTGCACGTGTAAAAAAAGTCTCACCCTAAACTTCATATTTTACCTAAAATTAAATCAAAATGGATCATGGACATTAACACCAAAGATAAAATTATATAAAGTATTAGAAGCAAACTATAGGCATCAAAGGCAAAGCTGATCAGAGTTCTGAACTAGACTCCAAAACTATAAGGGATAATAGAAGAAAACTGCTTCTCATCAAAATGATAACTTTCCACTATGGAAACCCCTGGCACGACAATAAAGACAGTAAACAGACAAGAAGAAACTGACAGAAAACCATAAAATGGACAAAAGATTTCTGGAATACAAAGTATACTCAAACTCAGGAGTTAACAAATCCAATTAAAATATGGGAAAAAGGCATTTCACCAAGGAGGATAGAGAGAGGGCAAACAAACAAAGGAAAAGATATAAAACATCTCTAGACACTAAGGAAATGCAAATCAAAACCAGAATACGATATTACTACACACCTATCAGAATGGGTAAAAGCATAAGAAATACTGATACTAAATACCGGCAAACATTCAAAAAAGACTGATTTTCTCTTTCGTTCTCAAAAGGAATGTAAAATTGTACAGCCATATGGAAAACACGTTTGACAGTTTCCTATAAATCAAACATGTGAGCCAGCAATTGTATCCTTGAAGTATTTATCCCATAGAAATGAAAACTCTACAGCAAAGACTCCACATGAATGTTCGTAGCAACTGTACTCAAATGGTCCAAAGTTGGAGGCAACAAAGATATTTTTCAGTGCGTAAATGTCACAGTGACAGGGATGCTGAGTACAGCAATTAGAAAGAAATGAGGTATGTAGTAACTTACATGACTATACACTGAAGTATACTACATGCTCAAAAACTAATCCAAACAAGCTACATATTTTATGATTGTATCCACATAACTCTTTCCAAATAGCAAAATTTTAGAGATGTTAAACAGATTAATGGGGCATGTATGAGAGAGCAGTGGATGAGATTATAAAAAGGGAATACAGAGATCCATAGCGTAATGGCACAGTCCAATATTTTGACTGGGGCATGTACACATCTACATATGTGACAAAAGAATACGGAACTAATATACAAACAAATACACACAAGAAATTAATTTAAGTGAACTGGAGAAATACGAGTAAAATCAGTAGGTTATATCAGTATCAGTATATAGTTGTAATACAGTACTTTTAAAAGTTACTACAGAGAATGGGTGATGAGTATATAGATTCTCTGTATATGACATTTTTTGGCCCTGTTTGGGTATAGAATTTGGGTATGAAGTTCAGGCTTATCAACTTGAGCTCACTTTGTAGCCCAAGCTGGCCTCCAAATTGTAGCAATCTCCTTACCTTAGCCTCCCACGCCAGGCTTACAGATATGTACAACCATGCTAAGACAGACTATTACATTTTAAATCTGGCTGGGAATCTAAGAACATCTCAATGAAACTATGAATTAAAATTCCAAGAACACTAGCAAAACCAAGTCTTTAAAAAACTGGAAAAAATAAAAATATAGGAATAGAATCCTAAAGTCAAGTAAAGATTCCTATTAAACAACATTCTTCTTTCCTCATGCATATATTTACCTAAGGGAAATCTCTAAGACTGTCCTTGAATTCTCACAGAATTTGGATTTATGGTATTTTTCCTTCTTCCAATTAGATCACTTTAACATTAAAGTGCATCATTAATGCTCTGAGAATCAAATTTTGAGTCATGAACTGCTCTTAATTCCACAGTATTTTCAGGAAGAATAAGTGATTCTCCCATACTTTTGAAATTTCCAAATCTTGGCGTGGGCAAAATCTTGGGTGCAATCATTTCTTTGTGCTCTTCTGGGTTTGTGGGTGCATATGCAGTGAGGAAGCTACAGAAGTCAGGCATAATTGATGTGAGGAATGGGAATACAGAATTCTGGAAGACAGCCCTGGTTACAGATGAGGGTGCTTAGACTAGCACAGTTAAATTGAAAGAGGCTGGGATACAGTTGGATTCAGGATAGAGTGTGCAGACAGCATGAAGAAGATCTGATAGAGCAGCTGTGGAGCACAACAGAGAGACTGTAGTACAGGGTGACTAAGATTTCTCGCCTGAGGGTTGAATAAATGACTAAGGTTTCTCGCCTGAGGGTTGAATAAATGGTGGTACCCTGTACTGACACGGGAAAGACAAGGCAAAGCAGGTTTGCAGGGTCAGAGCAAGGGCACTACCCATCTCAATAATGCTATATACAGCAATGAAGTATCACACATGAATTTATCAAAAATTACCTGGGTACACCTTTCCTTTCCACCACATTATCACATTAAGAACAACCAGCAGCTGGAACAGAGGGCTAGAATTTCCATAACCTGAAACACAATGTATTCTTAAACTTCTACACAAAGAGGAGGAAAATAATTACCTAGAAAGGAGACCATCTCATAGATATCCTGCATTACTTCACAGTAGAGAGTCTTCTGATTAGGGCCCAGTAACTGTCATTCTTCTTTAGAAATGTACACGACCTCATCTTCAAATGTCACCAGACTCAAACGAATTTAATGGGTTTAGTTTAGTATGTGCCACTCCACAAGACTTCAAATCACCCCATCTCTGAATGACATGGTAGGACTCTCGGTGAATAAATTAACAGTACACGATTTAGGGGAGAAAGTCAGATGGCAGAAAGGAAGGAGCAAAGCAGCTCAGCAAACAGCCTGGGAGGTTCCCAATCCCTACTTTTCAGGAGCAAATTCCATGGGGCGACTATCATGGAGTGAGTACCTGTCACTTGGATAATTGTTGCAACCCAGACCAACTTTCACCTTCCTCCAGCCTCTACATTCCTACTGGGAAACATAATGGTCTCTATGATTGGGTACCACAAATCTCTTACACAAATGGTGGCAACACCATAGCACATGTGCCACAGCAGGCTGTTTGTGATCACTGAAAGCTCTAGAAGTTTTGCCATCACTGTACACCATTCTAGCCTAACTAATTGCGACCACAGCTCTTAGGAGAGTTCTTATGAAGCTCCTCACGTTTTTCATATACAGGCTGGATTTTTTTGTGAGTATGTGACTCCAACAACTCTTGTAGTACTGGGTATGTATTCTTCTGTTCTGTCTGAAACAAACCCATTGGCTGGGGTTCTTCTGGCTTGCACTTCAAGCCTGATGCCACTGCTGCTGTTCCAAAGTTCACTGCAATGTTTCCCAGTTCTTGGGGTGTGACCTAGAAATAATCCCCACTCTCATTAGCACAGAACTTACTCTTGGTGTAGCGGAGATGACAGATGGAGTGGGGCCGACATTTGAAAAATAATGAAAAGACTAAGGAAACATTGCATGACTATGTTCCCCTAAGCATTATACACAGAAATGTGGGAAAATTAAAATTAAAACATGACAGCTACTCTCAGCTCCTCCACCTCAGCAGCCTCCACCCCTACCTGAATACGCAACCACAGTTCAAGCCACAAGCAGGTTTGGATAGGATGTCTATTCTCACACTACTTTTGGTGGCTTGTTTCTTGACTTGAATCCCTGTCTTAAGTGGATTTATATCTTTGCATTTTCTCTAAGAGAGGGAATGAAATTTAAGTTTTCCTGTCAGCCAGATTTTTCAACCTTCGTGTAGCCAAGGAAGGATACTATGGGGAAAGAGAATGGAATGGAAAGAAAAACGAGGGAAGGGATGGGTTCCAATCTCCCTGCCCATAACTTGGTTGCAGGAAGACACCATAAATATGCTCTGCCTTACCTCCAAGGTGCAAGGTGGGCTCCTGTGGTGAGATGGGGTGCTGTCGTGTCCAAGGGCCTACCTTGGCTCCCCAGTCACTAGCAATACCAACAAAAGGCACTTCCTCTGATGTGGGCCTTTTACCCCACGCCCAGAGGCCAGTGCTCCTACTACTACTACAGGGGACACAAGCCCCCAGTATCCTGACCCCCTCCACTTATCTCTTGATCTTTTCCTTTGTGCATATTGCCATTCACGTTTTACTTTCCATTTCCTCTCTTCTTTTGCAGTCTACCCAGACATTTTTCATATATACTTCTGTTTGCTACCCTCACTTTCCTCTGGTCTCGGGAAGTGCTTTCTAGCTTTGGAAATTTTCTTCCATTTTCCAGTTCCTTCCTGTCTTTTGTCTCTGTTCCAACAACTCGCGTCTTGTCTCCTTATCCATGCCAGACTAAGCCCACTACTGTCAATTCATCTTGGCCCTGAAGCAGTAAACATATCTTTTTGTTCTCTAAGGGTAGAGCAACAGTGAAATCTGTGGACCGTCTGCGGCATGACTGTGATTACAGATCCTGCTGGCTATGCTAACAGGAGAAATGTGATTTCATGGCTCTCATTTCGTGATAAGCCCCACCTAGGTATATTTACTCCACCCTATTTCATCTTATTTACTTTCAAAGCAATCTGTCTTTCAACTGCATTCTTTGTTCCACCTGATGCTCTCTGCAAGCATTTTACTAGGATCACAGCCTGTCTGATGTTCTGTGGATGATGCCTCTGCACCTAGATCTGCACTGCCCTGGGCAGCATGGCCAGGAACTGCTCCAGCACCAGCAGCTCCAACATCTGCTCTTTGGGGTGGATATTTGGCCTCAGCCACTGATGGCATAATTTCTTAAGTTTACTGACAGACCTTAGCAATCCAGGTGCTTCAGGAAAACAAGCTCCGGAAGTGCTTGTGATCCCACTCAGGACAAAGATGCTTTATTTGTAGGCTGTATTCCTTACTCGACTGAGGCTCTCTTTCACAGATCTTTTAGACCCATCAACAGCCCCAACCTGGGGGTACAAACACACATCCTCCTTCAACTCACTGGTCACCATTTTGTTTAGCAACACTTTTACTCCTGTGTGTGACACCCACACCACACTGGTGCCACCTGTGACAACTGAAGCCCTATTAGCTTTCCTACAAAACCAATGAACAGGTCTTCTTTCCAAGAGCACTGAGGGAGAAAACAAGAAAGGACATGTCAAGGACAAAATCATATGGCAAATATTAAATGAGAAGTTCATCCCTCGCTTCTCCTACCTTTAAAATTAACTGCCAGCACTTGGGAAGCTGAGGCAGGAGGATCACTACAGGGCTACACTGGATTACATAGTGAGTTCAAGGTCGGCCTGAACTGCTTAGAGAGACTTGCTCAAAAGGCCAAAAATAAATTAATAAATATTTTAAAACATAAATATGGGTGCTATTCTCCTTTGAACCCAACTTTGAAACACAGTGCAATTCACTGAACACAAATATCAAACCAATTCTTATATCATTCAAACCAGCCTGGCTGTTTTAGGAGTTTAAGAAAGGTTGGCGAAAAGATAGGTATCACTGGTCAAATGAAAGTAGAGAGTCCTCAGTACTTAATTTATGTGTTTCCTATGTGATCTTCACAAAGAGGGCACACATGAATTTCTCACATCATACATATCTTTTGCCTTTACTGAGTACAAAAATAACTTCTATGTTTCTTCACGTTCTCATGAAAATTAGAGCCATCTGATATTCTCATTTCCATTTGATTAATAGGAAAACTTGGACAGCAAGATCAGAGACATAATTAAGGAAAAAATAAAACAGCATTCCTCTCAGCAAATTTCTTATCACTAATCAATAAAATCATTGAGATTTGGTGGTGAGGGCACTTCTGGAACACTGATAAGGGGGCACTCCACACATTTCTCCCTGCATATTAAATTCTTTGTTTACTTTAACTGGAAAAACTTAGAGCTGGCCTTAGTTTACAATAAATGCAAATGTCAGTTTGTTCAGAAACAAGAAATAGGGATGATTAAGGTTCTTATAGAGAAGAAAGGCCAGAGTAAGGGGTTGACATGTTCTCCAGTGTTAAAAGCCATGGATAGTACCACATTTAGCTGGGTGCACTGGTGGGTGTTACTGCCCAGGCCGAACTACAAATTGGCAACTCCTATACCATATCATGCCCGCAGCGCAACACTGTGCACTGCTGTCTCTATGTGCACAAAAACTTACAAAGAAGCTGCTTCTGAAGGTTGCAGAGGGCATGTGAGCCTCATAGAGGACAGTCCCCCTGTTAGCCTGTCAACGTGCTGCCTTGGAAGAATGCCTCTGCCAGCTAGGAAGAGCAGTGCCCGGCACCCCGCCCCCACTCACCACCCAACCTCAGCTCCAAAGGCTTCAAGTAGACAGAGCAGCAGGTATCGTTCAGAGCCTCCCCAAAGGGCCCCAGGGAAATCAGCTTCGCAGGTGCCTCCAGTCAATTCTGACATCTTTGGCGACCACTTCTCTTTTCCTCAACTCCATGATAAAGTCTCCACAGCTCTCTGCTGCTAAACACCGCTCCTGAACCATTAGCCTAGGAGACTTCAGGAAAAGTGCGCCACACTTACCCAGTGCAGAGGTCGCAAATTTGCGAACTCAAGGCCTCGGAAGGTCAGTCCCCTACCTGAACATTCCACTCCTGAACACCCAGCGGGCCAATGTTGGGTCGAGGGCTGTGAGTTGAATTCCTACAGGAAAGAGACACAGTACCAGTAGCTTCCAGAAGTCCATGCCCAGGCATCACCACCCTGCCCAGGTCTCGCGTGGAAAAGTCTCGCGAGTTCTTTCCATCACGGAGAATGCGGCCTCCTGCTACAGTTTGGCCCTGGGTACAAGCAACACCAAATGCCACCAGATCTGCCAATCTGCTGGAAGCCTGGAGAAAGCCCCGCTAACCTGGTCACTAGGAAGACTTGTAGCCTAATGGCTCCTAGTATGAAGATCTAGGCAAGATTTTCAAAGCGTTTCAAGTTCACATTGTCCCTCCTGGCTTGCCGTCAAGAAGCGGCCATTTCTAACCAAGGTCACTGGAAGGGTAGAGGTCATAAGGTCAGCTCATAGCCACCTCAACACTATTCTGCGTCTTCTCATTTCTAGAGAGCATTTAAGAAACTATTAGAAAACTGTCCCTAGCAAAAATATTCTTTATATTCTTAAAATCATTTTCGATTTGGCTGGCATATTGTTATGAACCGTTATCCGACATTATTCTTGTTATTCATGCACGTGCATACAAAGGGGCAAGTGGACTCATCCTTTTTATTAAGGACCCAATTCCAAGAGAAGAGCATTAATCTGCATGGAGTCAGAGGCCTCCTGATCTTATTCAGTCTCAAAAACTCCACCCTGGACACTGTGTAATCAGGGGTTAAAGATCCCATGTGTAAAGTTTGGGGGAGAAATTTAAACCAAAGAACAGTACTTTTTATAAAGTAATTATCAGTCTCACCTCAATCTAGTATTCCCTGAAGCAGTTTGGGAAATAAGATCATATAAATTAAGATGCCTTAACATGCTATCTGGACATAGGTACAGATGGGAAGTGGTGCCATTCTTAAAAGTAGGCAGAGGTGCCCTGAAAGTTGGTGAAAGCCTGGAATCCCAGACCTCTGCAGGCTGATGCAGGAGGATCATTGGGAGTTTGAGGCCAGCCTGGGCAATAAAATGAGCTCAAGGCTAGCCTCAACTGCATAGCAAGACTATATACATATATATCCAGAGGAACCCCAAAGATATTTATCAACAACGCTTTGACCAAAACCCTTCTGATCTTGCTCTGAATCTACCCCTTGGGTGTTGTCTCTGAGGACAATGCCACATTGAGTTTTAGCCTCCTTCAATACTGCCTTAGCTTGTCTTGCTTTTCATAGGGATTAGGCCTGGTCTAAGCAGAGGACAAGCAGATGGGGTCCGTCAACTAAAGTAAGACCCAGCCTTACATGATTCACAAAACCTGTAGCTGGAAGTGGTCAAAGGTCCTAGGCTATTCATGTGTCATCAAAGATTTGTGAGAATGCAGAAAGTTTGTCAGTTGGATTCATTGGTTATCTCTGACAAAGTGAGGCATATAAATCTTTGTAAAGTATACCACACAAAACATAGAAACCAAACACACACAAAATTACAGTACATAAACTACTATTATGATAACCTAAAAAACATGATACAACACAGTGCAACTGTAAATGGTGGTACAGTATAGTAAAACTGTAAAGAACATGCAGTATCTACCATCTTTCTTCCTTGGTACGATCTCTCAGTTATTTTTACTTTTCGCCCCATGCTTATTGCTTTGCACTCCCTAGCAGTCCCCTCCACATCACCACTGCTTTTCCTCTTCCTTCCAGATTCCTGGGTCAGCTGGGCTTGTGACTCAAGCCTCTAGTCCCCGCACTTGGGAGCCTGAGGTATAGCATTGATGTGGGTTTGAGGCCAGCCTGGCCTATATAAGCACATTCAAGGCCAGCCTGCACTACACAGTGAGACTCTGTCTCAAAAACTAATACAACTGAATTACTGGGCTTTCATTGAGCATTGTACTACCATACAGTAGCACTGTGTGAGATAACCACACAGGAACACAACTGTAAGAAACTCTCGCAGACATGTGAGCTACTTCCACCATTTGTTCATATTTATCAATATGCATAATGTGAGGTCCTTTCTTATTTGGCAAAGTTTGCAACTAGAGCATTCTTAAGTAGGGAACTCACTGGATTCTCCCACTGGTGAACAAATGAGCACAGCAAACTGGAATTGTTTTCCAAGAGCATTACTACACTTGGGTCTATCAAAAGAAGGATGGACCAGGTGGCATATGCCTCTCCAAGCACTCAGGAGGCTCAATCAGGAGGCTGCAGTTTTGAGGCCAGCCTGGGCTACCAAGTAAGCTGAAGGGCAGGTTTAATTGAATAGTGAGATCCTGTCTCAAAAAACTCCAAAGAAGAAGAAGAAGAAAAAAAGAAGAAGGAGAATGAGAAGGAGAAGGAGAAGAAGAAGAAGAAGAAGAAGAAGAAGAAGAAGAAGAAGAAGAAGAAGAAGAAGAAGAAGAAGAAGAAAAAGAGGAAGAGGAAGTGGAAGAAGAAGAGAAGGAGGAGGAGGTGGAAGAAGGAGAAAAGGAAGAAGGAGAAGAAGAGGGAGAGGGAGAAGGAGAAGGAGAACAAGAAGAAGAAAAAGAAGGAGGAAGAGGAAGAGTACTAGTACTAGTAATAGTAGTAATAGTAGCAGTAGTAGTATTGATGATAGTCTCAGTAGAAGAATGAACCTAGCAAGCCTGTTCGGTTTCTGAGGGCAAAAGTACCCATGTTGGGAACACCAAGATTCCCACCTTCTTGAGTTTAGCTGTTTCTTTTCAGAAGAACTTCAGCAATAAAAGGTAGCAAATTACTGCTCACTGCAACAACTCAAGTGGAGTTCAAACACACTACACTGACTGAAAAGAGACAGATAGTAAAGGGTACATAATATAAGATTGTACTTACCAGCTTTTATGAAACGACAAAGTTACAACAAAAATCATATCAGTGTATGGCTGGGTCTATGGGCGAGAGTCCGACAGAAAGTGTACATGCATGTACTTACTGGAAAGAGGAAAAAATTGAGTATTTTGATCATGATGTTGCTATCATCTGTAAGCATTTGTCAAAATTCTTGGATTTGGGCAGGATGTGAGCCCAGAACTAGAATGCCAATCTTGCATGCACAAGGCCTTGAGTCCACTTCCTAGTACCACACAAAAAGCATTGAATTTGGCATTTCAGTCTTGTCAGTTTTATTGAATCTACATTGCATATCAAAAACTTGACTTAAAATATGCACGAAGTTCTTCCCCAAAAAGACCTCCTTGGACCTCTTCTCAGCCCATCCAAACTTAAGTTTAGTCTAATGCTTCATATCATACCACTAGCAAGGTTCTAGGTTCTTTTGCCCTGAGTCATCACAGATTTGGTATCACACAGTTTCTGTGAGTCTGGAGTTTGGGCACGGCTTAAAAGGGTCCTCTGCTCTGGATCTAGCAATCTTGAATTCAAGACATTGGTCAAAATTAAGAAATCATGTGTCTGGGGCTGGAGATTTAGCTCAGCAGCATAAGCGCCTGCCTTGCAAGCAAGCAGTCGTGAGTTCGATTCCCAGTACTGATAAAAAGGAAAAAGACAAAAAAAAAAAAAAAAAAAAAAAAAAAAAAAAAAAGAAAGAAAGAAAAGAAATCGTGTGTCCTTATCCGGAACCTAAACTGAAGAAAGGTCCAGTTCTATTATCACTGGGATCACTGAAAGTGTTCACTTGCTCACACATGTACAGCTGGGGTCTCTGACTTCTTACTGGCTGGTGGCAGGATATTGAACTTTTCTTTCAGGGGATGTCCAAAGTTTCTGGAAGTCACTTTTATTCTGAGCAAGATGGGCTTTCTTAACATGTCACTTATTTCTTCAAGACAGTCAACACAGCCTCACGTCTGTTAGCATGATGGGCTGTCATGAAATTCAACATAATCACAATCTTAGTTATGGAATCTCATCACCTTTGCCATGTTCTTTTGTTTAGAAGGAAGTCATGGGTGCCATCCACATTGATGATAATAGGGCTTTTATGAAGATGTGATCACCGGGAGATGGGATTGAACATAGCAAACTTCAGAATCTGTCCTTTGAATAGAGGCAGCATATAAGGCAATGTACTTCCCATCCACCCACTGATGGTGCTTAGCACAACTTTTCTTACCCTTACCCAGCTTGTGGTGTCCTCCATCTAAAGTGGGCACCTCTCATTGCCACTAAAATCTTCTAGGGGAATTATGGGGAGAGGATGCACTGGCCCTAAATATGATCAATATTGGAAGGCAACAATAGACAGAATTTCCAGGTTTTTGCCCAGATGACCACCCTCAGTCCAAAACAGCCTTGTATCATATAGCACTGAGCGCAGACGCCATCTAGGAAGGGGGCGGTAAAGCAGGGTTTGCAAGCACCATCTGTGCCAGATGGTATTTCATTACTGCTCAGCCATCTCAAGATTGTCAAGGGGCATGTGTGTAGCCACTAAGATGAAGCCCATGCTAGAACTGATTCAGCTAAGCATTCCCGACCGGGAACGTTTATTACTAGTACCTGCTCACATAGACGCTTTACCCATGATCATTAATAACAGCGTTACAGTAGATCCCTCAATAGAGGGGTAAATGTTATATGGAATATTATCTTGGTTCAGGTTGTAGGTGAATGTACCTGAGTGACTATGACTCAGAGTCAGTATGAGACATGTCCAATGGCAAAAGACACACGAGTATAAGACATACAAAAAATGTACAGTGTCTAGCCAGAGATTTAGCTCAGTGGCATAAGTGCTTGCCTGGCAAGTGCAAAGTCATGAGCTTGATCCCCAGAACCAAAAAAAAAAAAAAAATGACAGCCTGTATAAGAGAAAATGTTGAATATGACTTTCTCTCATATATCTTTGAGTGGACTCCCACTTCTGCAAAGTCTTGGAGGGACATGTTCTGTTACTAATTGAAGTCTCGGCGTCAGATGTATATTAGCCTTTTACTAAAAATACATGGGATTCTTACAGAGAAGGGGGCATCATGAAAGAAGCACAGACGAAATTCTGGAAAAAAATGAGCATCTTCAAAAAAAAATGCAATAGGCTGGGGATTTAGCTCAGAGGCATAAGCACCTACCTGGCAAGCACGAGGTTGTGTCTTCGATCCCTAATAACAAAAAATAAATAAACAAAAGAATAAAGCAGTAGGAAAGCATTCAACATTAGCAATGTTTCAACACTTCTCTCAGGCCAATTTAGTGTTTTAGGGGTAGTAGTGCATAGAATATGAAACACAGTAAATGGAAACTGAGGTTCCAGAGATACAAAGTGAAAACTTATTTTGGCACACTTGAGTTTGACCAAAGACAAACTGCAATCAACAAATGGTTGTGTATAAAAGGGTATTTAGCATCAGATCCTGGTAAAAATGGAGATTTACGATTTGGGTAAAGCGACTTGTACTGCCATATGTGTCAAAGTTGTTTACAGATGTTCTGAATGCATGAAGAACTTCACAACTATATTAGAACATGAACTTTACCTTTTTTTTGTATTTTGGACATTTTGGAGGCAAGGTTCCACTATATATTTGAGGATGGCTTTAACTGTTTCTGTAGCCCACGGTGACCTGAAACTTATGGCAATCCTCCTGCCTCAGCTTTCAGAGTGCTGGGATTACAGGTGTAGGATGCCAGTTCAGCTAAGATTTGAATTATGTATGAAAGTGAGGCATGAAGCTGTTTCTGAGTGTATAAAAAGGCTAAATGTGTAATCTCACTCAGACTCATGTCACTGAATATTTCTAAGTAGGGATGACAATCTTTTAAAATTAAGATTATTGTAGGCACTCCATGAGACTGAAAACATACTATAAAACCTATTGAACTAAGCATGGCTGCACATGTCTGTAGACCTACCATCCAGGAGGCTGATACAGCAGCATTACAACACTGAGGCTAGCCAGGCCACCGGGGAAATTAGTGAGACTCTATCTGAAAGTAAGAGTAAGCAAACAGGTCTAAAAATGTTCTCAATGCAAAACCAATCTGTTCTATCACCAGAATTAAAAATAAATGAACTGTGTATATGGGTAAATTATGTTATGTCCATTTTTTCATTGAAGCTCTCAAAACAGTGTCACCAAGATCCAGGGATGGCTCAAGGGTTCTAGTTTACCAATTCCAAGTGAATGTTATTGTCTTGCGTCCTTTATTAGCTAAATTGAGAAGTGATTTCAGAAGCATGCATCATCACACATGCACACACCATTTCCACAATGCTACTTGGAAGTTCTAGCTCAAAGCCCTGGCAGCCCAGACACTGATGACAGCAAGTCTTATCCTTCATGCCATTTGTGTCCCAGCTAGAAGAAGCATGTACCTGACCCAGCCCAATTGCTGCAGCTCCCAATATTCTTCAGGGAGACCTGTGTGATGCACCCATGAGTGCAAGGTTACCAAGCCCCTCTCCTTCTAAATGGGGGCAAAGTGTGTAATACTTCCCTGAGCAACATGCTCCAAGGGTGCCTCTTTGGGCCTGTGCTGGGAAACCAAGGGTATTTTTGAGGCTGGTTGTAAAGGTTTATCAAAAAGTGTATTCACCCCAACACCTGCTGATTCCCTCAGTCCAGCATAGAAATCTGGTAAACAGCAGCTGTGACTGAATTCCACCCAAGTGGGCTGAAAATTTGCAGGGCTGTTCTCAGAGAATATGCTTCCCCTTCAGCAGTAATGGAGAATTAAGTAAAAGTTGAGGACTCTAGGGCCTGGGCATTACTCTCATCCACTGGTGGCCTCATTCATGTCCCGTGAATCTCCCTTGATCAGCAGTGGCCTTCTTTGTGATGAATGATTATATTATTCTTATTATACAAATGAGGACCGGATTTAACTGACAGTTCCCCAAAGTGAGTTTATGTTCCAATGGAAACTATTGAGGATGTTTACAAGAAAATGTATATTTAATATATCATTTAGACTGATTAACAGTAGCTTTTCCACTAAACCAAGGCCTTTACTGCCCATAGAAGGATGAATAGGTGATGAAATGTTTGGATATTAATACCTGTGAATGGGGATCATAGAACCCACCCTACACCGAGCACTGCACTGTGACAATTTTGACAATGTCATGTGGTGGATACATAACCAGCAGGGAACTTCAGTGAATCTAAGCTGAAAAGATACTACTGTCTTTTACTCCGTGTCTTCCGTGGACACTACTAATTTTGACCTGTGACGAGAAATGATGGAGATGAGTGGGGAAAAGCACACTACACGGTAACCAACTCCACACAGCCTCACCCTGGACATAACCTGCAGCTCAGTGCACCTGTACCAGTGATTCCCAACCTGCCGGGTGCATTGGCGACACCCAGGGTTTCGACACACACCTGTCCCCAGATCACACGTCACTCCAGGGAAGAGTACCTGGTGATGGGTCCTGGGTCTCTGATATAAAAAGTTACTCAGAATTTCACCTGCAGTGCTTGTTGATCTCTGCAGTTAAGGTTCAGATAATGCAAAGGACTAAATGAGGAGGACATGTGGTGAGAGGTATACTTTGATTTTTCCCTACTTGTTGGTTATGTTCTGAGTACATTTCTTCAATTCTACCATGGTGTAAAAGCAGTTTAAGTCACCTACTTATGTTCTGTGTCTGTTTTAGTCACTTTTTAATTGCTGGGACAAAATACCTGACGTGCACTAAATAAAACAGGAAAAGAACATTTTGGCTCATGTTTTGTAGAGATTTCAGTCCACAGTTGTGGGACTCCAAAGCAGGGTGGCACGGACAGGAAGCCTTTCAAGGGAGGAGGGACATGTATTTATATACACTCTCAGGCCACACACTGTCCTACTTCTCGTCAGGCTTTACCTCCCTATGTCACACACAGCTATAAACTTACCCATGGACTAATCCAATGTCAGACACTCATGATGCAGTCAGCTCCCAAAAGTACCCCAATAGGGCTTTGGGGGAACATCTAGATATGTCACAACAGTGTCTGCTACCCGTATTGTGCCAAGCTACTACCAGGAAACTGAAGTCCCGTTTCACTCACTGTTCCCCAACAATTCCCTGAAAGTCAACTTGTTTTCTACTTTTGTTGCTCTCAGAACTTTTTAATATCTCACAGTAAGCTACTTAACTTACATTTTAATTCTATGTGAGTTCCACATTATTCTCTAGTTATTTTCTTTCAGAAATACAGCCTTTGCTATGAGAAAATAGGTTCTTCTTTGGCAAAGAGCATGTTGTATGTCAGATTTTCCAAAACACTCAACAGAATCCTGAGCAGCAGAAATTCTCCCTAAAAGAAGGATGTGCAGAAGTAGAAAAAGAGTCTCCCAAGCACATAAAATACCTCATTCACATGATAATGTCTCAGAGCTGTCACCAAAAGGGCCTGTCTGCTCTGTATGCCTGGCTCTGTAAAAAACTGTCCTACTTCACGATTCTGTAAGTTCCCAAGTCTATAATAGTCATACAAAGAAATTCAGTTGAAAAAGGTAGAAGTTTGGTATGGTATATTTTTCAATTTACTCTGATATTGAAATACCACAAAATAGTGTATACACACACTAGGTGAAATTTCAACATTTTAAAATGGTTAACTTATAAATCTTCTATTAAAAGTTTGTAATCCATTAGCTCTTCATTCCCATGTATTAGTTTGATACAGTCAAATGAGGAAAAGACTTCACTGTGCGTCTAGCCAATCTAGTACATGATGTAATAATTAGTTGGTTTCATTCCCAAGTCCTTGATGAGCAGTGGTCTAGGCATTGGAGGGACCACAAGATGGAATTTGGCTTTAACAAGTTTTCGAATCTTGATATCTCTCCTTAGTTAACCACCTTTTCCCAGTGCTTAACCTCTCTGGGCCTCAGTTCTTCAGGTGTAAAATGAAAACCATCAAGAGTAGTACTCGCCTAATCCACAAGCCCAGCACAGACCGAGAGAACTAGGCGGAGACCCAACTCTGCTTGCCAGGCGCCACCTCCTGAAGGCCCTTTCCTCCACATGCCCAGCACAGGCTGGAGGAGACAGACAGATCCATCTCTGCCCGCCGTGTGCCGTCTCCAAAGGCCATGTCCTACAGGTAGTCATCATTGGCAGAGAGAACCAGCAGATCTAACTTCACTTTCAGGGAGCTGCCACAGGAAAGCTCCTACCTGCAGGCATCCAGCAGTAGGAGGGACACACAGCCAGGTAAGCCCTGCACATCTGTAGGCCACCACTTGAAGACCTTGGTTCCCTCAGACAGCCACCATCCATTGCAGAATCAGACAAATATACCCCAATATATCTGCCACCATCATGGGAGTTGCAGTGTAGACACACAGGCTGAGAGAAGCAGCCACACCTCTATGCACACCTGATCATCAGCAAAGCCACAGAGTAGCTGCATAGCTCTGGAGAAGCCTCCTCCACACTCTAATACCTCCCTGTAAATTTGGAATTAGAGGAACCCAGGTCCCTTCCCATCCCCCTACACTGCTTAGGGGCAGCCAATGTGGGAAATAACTGGGACCCCACAACCAGCTTGTTGGGAGGAATCCAAGAGAATGTCAAGACAAACATAAAATATCTGAGAGGAATAGAACTGAAGTAAGGAAACAACTTCATGAGGTTGTAAACGTAGTCAAATCAGAAAAATAAAATCAGAAATAATGTCTCAGATGAAAGAAGAAATTGCAAACCTATTGAAACAATTGTTTATCAGGTCTAAAGAAGACATAGACAAAAAAGAGCATAGGAAAATGATGGAAACCTTGAATGAATGTAGAAAGGAATTACAATGCATGGAACAGATTCATAGAGAGATACAGGAAATTAAGAATTCAACTGAAAGCTGGCAAACCCACTTGAAAGTTACAGGGGGTTTGACTCAAAGGTGGATGTATATGTTAAAGCCCCGTGCGATACCCAACAAAGGCAGCCAGCCAGGGCCATGCCATCAGAATTGTTCTTAGTATTCAGAAATGCATTCCTCCTGCTATGACTCTGTACAAGAATGTATAGGCATAGATAGCCAAACTTACTTCATTGCTGAACTTATGAGGACATGGGCTGGAAGTGTTGGAGGTGATTGGTCCACCAATCCGACAATAATAGGAAGTTCAAAGTATGCCCAAGCCTCATGTCTCGGCATGGTTGGTAAATCAGTGTGCTGGAGCAGGGTGGCCCCTATACATGTGTCTGTTGGGGGCGGCCTGCAATATAAGATCAGAGAACTCATGGTTGAGGAATGAGTCAAGCAGCTAATAAAAGTAATGTTTCCCCAGATACATTACCACCCCTTGATGCTGCCTAAATCACGGGGAGTTGATCTGGATGCTCAAAATTCTGATATTCTAGAGGCCACTCATAAAGCCTTAAAAGGTTCCAACTCACCTTTGGCTGAAGATTGCTGGTTATGCATAGCACAGGGCTCCCTCATGCCTCTTGCGATCCCCACCAAT